AGAGAGAGAGAGACAGAGAGAGAGAGACAGAGAGAGAGAGAGAGAGAGAGAGAGACAGAGAGACAGAGAGAGAGAGAGAGAGAGAGAGAGAGAGAGAGTTGTGGATGACTTGCTCAAGAGCACCTCAGCAGTGCACAGGAGGTGGAACTGGCTACTGATGACATTTTGAGTACCCGCCACTGTCACCTCACAGCAAGAAGGATTCGATTCCCGGGTTGTGTGGAGTTTGTGTGGGTTTCCTCCATCAACTTAAGTTAATTCCAGCCCTTGACCAAGGTACTGGTTCAGATCTGGAGTTCACTGCTCCCAGTATGGCGGGTTAACTGCAGAGGTCATATTTCACTTTACGAACTGTGTATAATCATATTCTAAAAGGTGATTCACTCGTATCAGTGTCCATTATCAAGGACATGAAAGGACGTATTTATTATGTTCTTTCATGTCATTGATATTCTATTGAACAATTTCCTTTATTGCTATTGTCTTTACTAAAATGTCTGTTACTGTTACAATACCTTGAAACACGGCACATGTACAGTTATACACAGGCATACTATATTTCCACTTTATTGTATGGAGTGTATGAATTCTTTTTAATTTATTGTATTTTATTCTTTCTCTACTCTTTGCTCTCCGTTCCCCTGTGCTGCTGTGCCAAATCTGTATTTCATTCATTGTGCAGCACACAGGGTGTATGCAGGATTTCGCTTCAATTACTAAACTATTCAGTAGTGTCTCATTCGGTATGGTGGCAGGCAGAGCAATAAGGATTATAAAGGTATATTTTATATATTTTAAGTGTTTCCAGGACAAACGGATGTTCAGACTAGTTCAAGACGTGGGTCTCAACGGTTACCTCTCTATCTTCAGATGTTACTATAATTAAATGTGGTCTTCTCTTGAATGTCCTAGCAGATATAATTAAATATGAATATAGACATCATTTTGTGTTTGTATATTGTGCTACAGTACATTTTATAGAAAATGAAAAGCTGTAAAATATCACTTTAACATGAAACTCATTGCATTCCACAATGTTTGTGTTGTGTAACCCTGTTTTTCTGTCCTGCAGATGTCCAGCGGCTGTCGGTCAGTATAGAGGAGGTTCCCCCTGAGAAGCTGAAGTGGAGCCCCAGTCAGTTTCAGGACCTTACAGATGTATTCAAACAGCGGCTGCTAACTGCGGCTCCAGAAGATCTGATCGGAGATTTCGAGACAACAATATCCGGATACGAGAAGGAGATCGCCCGCAAACGAAAACTGCTAGATGTGGTTTTAAAGCCTGAAATAAAGCTGCGAAGAGCCGGTTTGTTTTCTTTCTGCTGTTTTTTTGCTCCGCTTATGTTTTGGGGAGCTGATGCTAAGCTACTGATAGCTACACCATCTGTACTCTGTATCTGTTAGCCACAGCAGTAACCCTAATCCAAAGACGTAAAAGTAGACTGACAGAGGATATTTAACGGTACTGGAGCCACAAGGGGGGTTTCTGTTCTGTCAGTTTGAGTCAGATCAGCATTGTTTCTGAGAAATCAGTTCGGTTCAGTTGGGTGAGTCCAATGGTTCCGATACCCACGAGTCTCAGCTGCTGTTGCTGTAATGCAAAAACCCTTCAGAGGGTAAGATTCAGAACGGTTGAACCTGTCACCATGGTTTCTGAGTGGGGGACCTAGCCGGGAATACTGCCGGGGAGCGGTCCCCGAATGAGCCACAGAACCAGAGCGGGTCGGACCAACAGAGGAAGAGGAGCCAGTTTGTAGTCAGTTAATTAGTCAGTAACTGTTAACGCTATCAATCATCCATCGTATCAATCAGCCAGGATTAGTTTCAGTGAAGTTGGAAGTTATTTAATAAATTACTTAATTATTCACATTGTCACTGTGCATGGATTTTTATATGTTTGGAAAGCTGTGTGATGTAAACACACTTTTCATGTGTACGCATGATTTATACATCTAGAAAACAAGGAAGTAACGTTGAGGAATCTATCGGAGAGCAGACTGAGAGATGTAACAAAGAGTTTCTTCAGTAGAAGAAGTTAAGATACTGAGTGGAAGAAATAGTGGAAATGTTAAAGTTTGAAAATGTGAAGATTCTGAAATTCTGAGCTTCCCAAAAATTACTGTGAAATGAAATTAAACTTTTAAGATACTTCCAGCGTCCCCACACTGTGCGAACAGGCTGCAGTTTAGTGTGAAACAAGGCAGCAAAACACCTGTTAGATATTCTGCCATCTGGAAATGTAGTTTCCAAACCTCTTGTGGGTATCCATAACGTCTATCTTTGTGTTTACTGTGTCCTGCAGATGTCCAGCAGCTGTCGGTTAAAGAAGAGGTTCCCCCTGAGCAGCAGCAGGAGTGGAGCCCCAGTCTGGACCAGGAGGACCCAGAGCCCCCACACATTAAAGAGGAACAGGAGGAAGTCAGGACCAGATTCTGGAGGAAACAGGACCAGGATACAGGGGATGAGTGAGGCCAGCATTCAAGGGGTTCACTTTCTAGCTTCTTCCTTGTTTCGCTCTGTGTAAAGATAGTGAAGATGTTGATGATGAAGAGAAACCTCAGTCATCACAGCTTCCTCAAAGACAAACTGAACAGATGGAAACAGATGATGGAGAGGACTGTGGAGGACCAGAACCAGCCAGAAACTCAGATCCAGATGAACATTCACAACCTGATACGGATGGTAAGACTGAAGACTCTTCTGAATCTGAGACTGATGATAGCGACAATGATTTTAAAGAGACCAGAGAATCTCAGTCAGGTGATGTTACCAATATAAAGCCTTTGAGCTGTTCAGTTTGTAAGAAATGTTTTTTGCACATGAGAACTCACACAGGTGAGAAACCTTTCAGCTGCTCAGTGTGTGGTAAAAGCTTCAGTCAAAAGAGTCATCTGCAGGTTCACATGAGAACTCACACAGGTGAGAAACCATTCAGCTGCTCAGTGTGCGATAAAAGCTTCAGTCTAAAGAGTAATCTGCAGTGACACATGAGAACTCACACTGGTGAGAAACCATTCAGCTGCTCAGTGTGCGATAAAAGCTGTCAAATCAATTCTGATTGAGTTCCATTCCAGTACAGATTAACACTGCATGGAGTTATTAAAAGTTAACACTGGAGGGTACAATAACTCTGAGTGTTTCCTAAAACCAGAAAACGTACCAAACACACATCCACATCCAGTCTGGGCACATTTAAGCCTGAGATTTTTTCCAGGTAAGTAACCATGAACTAATCGTAAATGCCTAACAAGCATATTTGAACTAGTTAACTGAGCCTGACAAACAAAACACTGCATGATAGAGGAGAAACTTCAAGCACTAATGAAGCAACCTCGCCCTAACTTGCCAACATCAATGTTGTACACTGTGGTTTGGATGAAAGTGTACATGTTGTTCATCAAAGGCACCAAGAGAAGAGGTTGACCTGCAAGGTATGGCATTCTTGAACTGGTGGATTGCATTCTTTTAACTCCAACAGCCAGGAGATAGGGTTGAGCTCTATCTCCTCAGTAGGATCAGCTGCCAGCAAGAGTTCTTCAAGCTCACTTGTGGATAGACGCTTTCTGCATTGTTGGATGATATTTTTCTTGAACATGACCGACCACCTCTCCAGAAGCGTGCTTGATGTATCCTCTCCAAACATCAGAATGAAATCCTGTTCAACTATCTGACAGGCAACCTAAGTTAACGGGTGATAGTTAATGGAGTATTACTACAACGCCTGTCTACCGATAGATAATTACCAAGCCTTTGACGTCTTTAAAACGTGGAAAGTTGGACGGTATGTTGCTCGACTGCTGGGGGTCAAGGACCATGTTGCGGCGATACACAAATGTCAGTTTCATTTTCTTCTTGACGGTGTCCTCATCAGCTGAATGTTTCATCAGTGAGATTGCTTCGTTGCACTCATCTTCAGTCACGGCAGTCTCTGAAACTAACTCGGACTCTCGTCTGACAGTTGGTCCTCCAGACACGTCTTCACCAGATGATTCTTTGGCTGATTCTACATAACATGGGAAAATACAGTATTATAAATACTGATCGCTTGTCTTTAGCGGTGCCTTTCTGAATAGTTTCAATCCTCCAGGCCAAGTACCCAGTTCCACTCTAACTATCATAATAGTGCTCCTTGGAGGATGAAAGGATAACAAAAAAAGATCCGATAGGATTAAAATTTTTTCAATACAGCATTTAACATTACTACAACAATTACTGTGTGCAACTCACATAGCCAGTCTTAGAGAATGGGTCACCGAGGTAGGGGAATAAGGTCACTATTCCTCTGGCGTACATTTCTTTCATTTGTCTGGGTGGGGATGTACTGCAAGGAGAAAGGAGTTTGCAGTTATATTCACTGGATTTAATTTCGATGTCAAATTAATCTCTAAGCTAGATTCAGAACACAAGGACTGTTAACAAATGACCCATTATTTTCTGCCATGTCAGCTGCCAGTATGTTCACCATTTTTCGTCTGATTTCATCCATCAAGGATTTGGTTCGGTTGTATTCATTTATTACACGTCCCCCACCAGGTTTGTTGGTAAGAACGGATTCCACCAACTTGAATACAAATAATTGTTTTTAATAACTTTGATCTTCTTAAAGGGACAGTTAGCCCATTTGCATTAAGCTTTGTATCATTAGAAGCTCAGTCATATTTTTGAATGGTCGTGCATCATTCCCTCACTTTCACCGGAGCGGAGGGAGAAATACGGATTCCAGTGTTGCACTTTCTGCTTCCAATGATGTAAAACTCGTTCATTTTAGCGTCATTGGAAGGGCAGGAAGTTCTCATACTCTCTGTTTTTAAGAGGAGTGAGACTAAAACAACTACTCCTCATTTTTTTTTCACATAACGCAGCAGGACCGTATCACAGATCAGTGGGTGGGGATTCACCTTGCGAGAAAACGAAAAAATACTGAACCGCCAAATCTTGTTGGAAGCTAAGCGAAGCCGCTGTCGATCCAGACGTTTACGACATAATGGTTAACATCAATGCTAAGTATGAGAATTATTGAACAGTGTGACGGGTGAACAGATGTTTGGTGGCTACTTTATTGAGCCGCGGACAAGGAGCCGAACCGGCTTGAGCTGGGGCGGACTGCTGGTGCTCTCACTGTGGCGTCTACGACACAACGGACGTCCGACTGTGAAAGTAGAGGTATCTCTATTCTTTCTTATAAACAAGGCGTGGCATGGTTTGATATTACAATTTGTTCAAAGCTTATCACGAAGTTATTTCCCGGTAATACGTAAGACGTCAGGCCAACTCGAACCTAGCTTCTTTACTGCACAAACAACTTTGCGCTGCAGTGCTAACTCACTGGGGCACGCTAAACAAAAGACCATGCATCGCTAACTGTGTGTCAATTCTATGGTAGACAAATATCGCCTAACAGCCTTTCTGGAATGGGTCCTGCAAGGCGAGAGATTGGGTCGAGGTATCGTGGTGTTGTTACCCGCTTTTGTGTGGTCGGCAGGCTATCGGACAGAAGATAGTGGCAGCTCCGAGAGGTGGGCCAGTACTCGGCACCCAGAAGAAGTTGAGGGACGCTCAGGAGGAACTGTTAACTGTCATGTTACACATTTATTTTGGTGGTTGTTTTAATATTTTGTAAATAAATGTTTACACTTCAGCGGTGGTGTGTGTAGCCCTTGTACTGTCAGTTGGGAGCGGCTTGCAGCAGCTGTGCATTGTGGGGAGTTGTTGTCTTTAAGGCA